GATGTGTTTCTCTCACATCGATGTTTTCTCTGTCTTTCCCTCTCTCTTACACTCTCCCTAAAAGATCAATGGAAAAAATATCCTTGGGTGAGGATTAACCAAAAAAAAAAAAAAAATACAGTATGATCCAGGGCTCACTGTGCTGGCATCACAGTGATCCCTGGGAAGCCACCTGCCCTTTCTTTGTGTAGATTCTGAGCTACAGAACCTCCTGTAGCCACTGAGATTCTCAGGGGCTGGTGTGGGCATCTCAAGAGGACTGGAACTACTCCAGAGCCGTGCCAGCGCCCCGCCGTGGAGAGGCCAGAGACTGCCCTAAACCCTCTCCCTTAGCTATGCCGCCCCCGTACAGTGGAGGTAGGCCTGGCAGGCACGGATGGCGGGCATCGGAGTAGCAAAGGTGAAGAGAACAGTAACGGGTGAGCGACTTGTCTCTCGCCACCTCTGTTCTCTCATCTGTAAAATGAGAACCATTGTAACCTAGATGTGGAAAGCTCTGTGAGTGGGTGCAGGTTGAGCTCAGTGCACACACTAGGCGCTCAGAGACTGGCCCTGTGCTGTTGCTGCTCCGTCAGGGAGGGAGGCTACACTTAGATCCTCTTTGTCGGGTGGTTCTAGGAGTGTCCTGGGAGGGGACACCCGGGGACAGGAAGGGGCCCAGCTGTTCTGCCCTCCCAGAGAGAGCATGAAATTCATTCCTCACTCCGGGCCCCTGTCTGCAGAGTGACGGAGGAAGATGTCCAGCCCCGGAGTCGACGGCGACCCCAAGCCCCCATGCTTGCCTCGAAATGGCCTGGTGAAGTTGCCAGGCCAGCCCAACGGTCTGGGTGCAGCCAGTATCACCAAGGGTACACCCGCCGCCAGGAACCGCCCCTGCCAACCACTGCCCCCACCCACTCTCCCACCACCCAGCCTGGCTGCCCCGCTGCCCCGGGCTGCCCTGGCTGGGGGCCTATGCCCCCCAGCAGGGATCCCCCTTGGTGGACCAGCCTCAGCCCCTGCACCTGGGCCCCCGGTGGAGCGGCCGCCACTGGCCACAGATGAGAAGATCCTCAATGGCCTCTTCTGGTACTTCTCGGCCTGCGAGAAGTGCGTGCTGGCCCAGGTGTGCAAGACCTGGCGGCGCGTGCTCTACCAGCCCAAGTTCTGGGCGGGCCTCACACCTGTGCTGCACGCCAAGGAGCTTTACAACATGCTGCCGGGTGGTGAAAAGGAGTTCGTGAACCTGCAGGGCTTTGCGGCACGCGGCTTTGAAGGCTTCTGCCTAGTGGGCGTCTCCGACCTGGATATCTGTGAGTTCATCGATAACTACGCCCTGTCCAAGAAGGGCGTCAAGGCCATGAGTCTCAAGCGCTCCACCATCACTGACGCTGGCTTGGAGGTGTGTCCTGCTGCTGGCTCAGAAGGGACAGGGAGGGGGCAGGGCTGGGCAGCAGCAACGGAGCAGGTGTGAGGGTGAGGAGAGGTGAGGAGTAGACCCAGAGGCAGCTCAGGCATGCAAGAAGCAATGTAGCTGAGGGCTGAGCCAATGCCCTGAGGGGGATCATGGCTCTGGGATAGGTGAAAGCAGGACTAGTTACATAATTTGAGCGGCCCAGTCCAAATGGGAATGCAAGTCCCTTGTTCGAAGATGATTTAGAATTTCAAGACAGTGACAGAAACACAGCTCATTACGGGTAAGGTCCTTCTGAACACCGGGCCTGCATGCCAGTGGGGAGGATTCTAGAGGTAATGGGGGGAGCGCGGCAAAGGGCAGGGGTGCAGGTGGCGCCTTCCTTGGGATCTGGACTGTAATCATCAAATCATTAACACCCACTGCTCTGGGCACATGCTCTGGCCAGGCCATGGGCTCCCAGTTCCCCGTGCCCTGCCTCCCCTGTTAGTGTGGTTGAGGTGTAACAGAAACACTATAAAGTGCCCTCGTCCAAGAGTACAGCTCCACGTATGATTACACGAAGGACAGGGTTCCTTCTATTCTCCTCACGGTGCTCTGTGGGGAGGGGCACACCCAGGGGACCGGGGTGAGCTTGCAGGTCACACCGCCTGACCCGCCCACAGGTGATGCTGGAGCAGATGCAGGGCGTGGTGCGCCTTGAGCTGTCCGGCTGCAACGACTTCACGGAGGCGGGGCTGTGGTCCAGCCTGAGTGCCCGCATCACCTCGCTGAGCGTGAGCGACTGCATCAACGTGGCGGACGACGCCATCGCGGCCATCTCGCAGCTGCTGCCCAACCTGGCCGAGCTGAGCTTGCAGGCCTACCACGTGACGGACACGGCGCTGGCCTACTTCACGGCGCGCCAGGGCCACAGCACCCACACGTTGCGCCTGCTCTCCTGCTGGGAGATCACCAACCACGGTGTGGTCAACGTGGTGCACAGCCTGCCCAACCTCACAGCACTCAGCCTTTCCGGCTGTTCGAAGGTCACTGATGACGGCGTAGAGCTCGTGGCTGAGAACCTGCGCAAGCTGCGCAGCCTCGACCTCTCCTGGTGCCCGCGCATCACTGACATGGCCCTGGAGTATGTGGCCTGCGACCTGCACCGGCTGGAGGAGCTGGTGCTGGACAGGTGTGTGCACCCTCCCCCGCCCCCAGGCCATGAGGGCGGGGCGGGAGAGGTCAGCAGAGCCATTTGAGCCCGCAGCCTAGATTAATGAACTGTAAATAGGGTGGGGCTGCTGCAGGGTGGGGAGCACGGGTGAGGGGCGGGGTCCTCAAAACTCGGGCCTAGTTTGGGTGAGGTGAGGGCTGTGGAAAGGAAGGGGCTATTATGAGTGGGGCAGGGGGTGAGTCCAGGCCGGGGGACCCCGGGAACAGGAGTAAGGGGTGGGAGCCGAGGGAAAAGGAGGGGTGTTCTGAAGGTGGACAGCCCCGCTCTGTTGCAACCACAGGTGTGTGCGCATCACGGACACGGGCCTCAGCTATTTATCTACCATGTCGTCCCTCCGCAGCCTCTACCTGCGATGGTGCTGCCAGGTACCGGCCCTCTCCGCCTCTGGCGATTGGGGAGTAGGCAGGGGGTGGGGGGCGCGGGGAAGGCCCCGCCCGGACCGTCCTCTGATCTGCTCCCGGCCCACTCAGATCCTGTAAGGAAGTCTGGGATCCCTCCTCACCCAGCGGCCGACGTAAGCGGAGTGTGCGGAGTCCCCAGGGCCCTCAACGACATTCCCCAGCTGCCTCCTGGCTCCGTGGGGAGCCGAGAAACCCCCGTTTTGAACCCCGCTCCCTGCCCCTCCAGCAGCTCCAGGCCAGCGGCCTGACCCCAGGAGTGGGGCTCCCACCGGGCGCGAGCGGAAATGGTTAACTCGCTCCGCCCTCCCGCCCAGGTGCAGGACTTCGGGCTGAAGCACCTCCTGGCCATGAGGAGCTTGCGTCTCCTGTCTCTGGCAGGTGAGACTACCCCCGGCCGCCCTCCTGGACAGTGATCACCCCCCGCACACACGCACGTACACACACAGTTTGTCCGCCTCCGCCAAACCTACGGGGTCCCTCGTACGGATCTAGGTCCAGGTCAGCGGAGGGAGGCAGGCTCTAGCCCAGCGCAGGCTCTAGCCCCGCCCAGCGCAGGCTCTAGCCCCGCCTCCCAGGAACCGCCCCTCCCCCGGGCCCCGCCCACTCAGCCACCGCCCGGTCCCCGCAGGATGCCCACTGCTGACCACCACCGGGCTGTCGGGCCTAGTGCAGCTGCAGGAGCTGGAGGAACTGGAGCTGACTAACTGCCCCGGGGCCACCCCCGAACTCTTCAAGTACTTCTCGCAGCACCTGCCCCGCTGCCTCGTCATCGAATAGCGTGGGGTCTCCTCGCCCCGGTCGCTGGAACCCGCCTGGCTCTGGGCGGGGACCCGAGGGCTACTCAGAC